CTGTGTCCGGAACAATTAAACCAGGATTAATGTGGTCAATATTTATTATTATTATTTCTATTAGGGAGGAGGAGGGGGGAAGAGGAGGCGAACGAGGGCGAGGATGAGCACCACCAGCAGCAGCATCAGCGCAGGGTGGATGCTATCAACATCATGCCGACCTCTCTTACTGCCAAGAATATGTTACTTCTTTTTCTTCTTCTTCGCGTTCACCAGCTGTACACTCTGGTTAAAGTTTTGGTTGTTCGTCCACTTCTGAACTACAGTCCTGCTCCAGAACCTGAGTGTTGCGTGTGAATCAGTTTTACAGATAGGATTCATTTGAATGCAGACTGTTGGTTCCTTGCCTCTCAGGCAGATGCACTCCGACTTCAAAGGAAGCTCCCCAATTAGTCGACTCTTACGACATGCTTTTGGGTAGGCAGAGGTTCTATTCTTGTTTTCCCCACGATGGCGCCCCAGAACCCACATGGGGAGAATATGTTACGAAATCGACACATTGCCCAAGGGATAGTTCCGTTGGCTGGATGTTTATGAGAGGATGAGGCAGAGAACGGGAGGAAAAAAAAAACTTTCTTTCACTATCCCGGACGAAGCCAGGCAATTAAATCCAGTATAACTATAAGAAGGGAGTCGCCGTGGCGGATCAGCTAGACGCTCGGTGCGGATTGGAAGGTCGTTGGTTCGCTTCCTGTCGGAGCCGGACTGTTCAAAAATGACCTTGGCTTTCAGGTCGACCCAGCCATGAGTGGGTACCAGGTACAGTCCCGGGGAGAAAAGGCGGCCAGCGTGATGCTGACCACATCACCCATCTTGTGTCGATTGGTCTATAAAATATAGGTTTAGCCCTATATGCCTAAAGGCTTGGAAAAGGGTCCTTTACTTTACTTACTTTGCAACTATAAGGATGAGACAGCCAGTGCGCTTCACTCATACTGTGAGAAGAGACGTAGTTGGAGAACATCATGATGATTGGAAAGATCGACGGTATAGGAGCAGAGGCAGACCAGAAGAAACAATGTTTGGTGGACTAAAGCGATAGCATGGTGAAAAATAATGAAAAGAATTGATTCAAAATACAAACGGCCGAGATCTGTGGCAGGACACAAGCGCATAGGTTGCTAGACAGGGCACATAAAAATTGTGAAAAGAGAGTCATTGCTTTCTGAATGGTCAGATACTCATATCGAGGGTTTTTTAATTAACGCAAAAACGGTCTTCTGTCAAATCACCCGCAGCCAACTTTAAAACCTGTTCTCAGGAGAAGACCGACCCCCTCCCCCACTCCTTTCCCCCCCCCCCTTCCCCCACCCTTCCCCCACCCTTCCCCCACCCTTCCCACCCCCCCCCCCCTTTCCCCCACCCAGTGTCTGAAGAAGTCGAATGTGTCTACCGAAAGTTGCAAACATGGCAGCCATTATGCGATTAGGTCCTCGGATGAAATAAAATGATGAAGAAGAACCCTGTTTTGTCTGAATTGTGAAACTGCGGTCATAACCCTAAGCAACAAATGCTGATAACAGTGCGTAAGCTAACAGTATTACCAGACTTAAGACACACACAAAACGGAAACATACCGCTTTGCTCTCCGCACTTTCATCTTTGCTTCAGAACAGCCCTGGCTGCCGAGAGGTAGACCTATTCTCATGGGGCTGGCAATCATATGGCTATAGCAGGCTTTTTCTTGAAGGAGACGAACATCTTCCTTCGAGTCCGATGCCTGTGTTTCGCCTGCCAAGGAAGACTCGGGAGACTGACAACCTTCAAGATCGCTAGTAGCGGATTCTGCCAAGCGAGTAAAATCAAATCGTCGTTTGATTTCTGGTTTTAGTTTTGGGCTAATATCTGAAACAGACAAATATGGGGTACTTCATTTTTGAGCATTCACCAAATAGATCTTTCAATGACCGAACTTTCTATGTAATATACTGCCAGTGACTTGCGGAGACAGCACATTTCACAGGCGCCGTCTCCGCAAGGTCACTAAAAATACAAGATGATGTAAGGTTACAAATACGAGTTTTAGAGAGAAAGTTTGAATAAGACTATGTCTGGATTATATTGACAGACAAAGAATGAAATGGTTCAGCCATCTAGTGAGAATGCAGCCAAACCAAACTGCATATGAGAATTTTTACAGCAGAACATCTGTGGGGAATGTGAGAGGAAGACCAAGGAAGAGATGAATCAATTGTGTAGCTGAAACCTGTAAAAATATAACAAATCCATCACTCAAGCCACCCGAGAAGCGCAAGCCAAATGCAGAAAACCATGATACTATGCTACAACCTGGTATCAGAGAGACGACAAAAGAAGCAGGATTGAACTCACACTCGCCGCAGCTCGCTTTAATGGGAGTGGTAATATCTGAAATAACCCCCCCCCCCCCCCCCCCCCCCCCCCCCCCCCACCACCTCCAAAAATAAAATTAAAATCTATCACCACACAAACATTGTAACTAAATTACATAAGTAAATACTTCGGTCAGACCAAATGTAAACAACATTAAATACTTCCCTAATTGTATGCGTAAACAACACAGTCTTTGATTTGACATAACACACCGCTAAATCTGGCACATTAAGTCTCTCTGTTTACTGGCAGATTTTTCACAAAATACATGTCAAAATATTGTCAACGTATTTCTACAGGAATTCAGAACGCTCACTATGTACACATATAAGAGAGTCACTGGGCGCACGTATTGACGTGTCATCGCAGTAAACGTTTCTACTTGTCATCAACATTACAGACATTACAATTTGACAAATAATATTCGACTAAGGACGAAACTATATTGCTAAATATATTACAACATCCCAAACAAATGCAAGAACAATAGAAAGTTAAGTTACACATTTTAGTTCCATAATTCAAAATAGAAGACGAGACTTTACAGCAAAGTTGATAGTAAAAAAGTCTACAAGTCCAAGTCATCTTACTTATCCCCCTCTAGCCCTCCTCCTCATTGTTCTTCTTATCGTTCTTCCCTGCCTTCGTCTTCAACTCCCCTGCCTCCTTCTTCTTCTTACCACTCCCCCCTCCCCCTCCACCCTTAACTCCTCATGTACTTTTTCTTCTTCTCCTTCTTCTGCTGCTGCTTATATTATGATGATTATTATCATAATTATTTCATTTAGCACATTTTCCTGACACTATTTCCAGATGAGCGATATCATGGCCTACTCTCTACAATTCTCAAATGATGTGACATTTCGTGAATCTACAGCTCAAATACCGCTTATCTTCGTGCTAGGTTTTCATAAGGATATTATTGGCTTTTAATATTGCCAAAATGTTTCACTGATCTTGTATTAAATGGGATATTGTGAACAAGAAAAACTGCGGGGAAAAAAAAAAAAACAAGATGGGGCAGAGTTACCAATAAAGAACAAAGACAGTATCGGATTTAGGATTTCATAGAATATCAATTAATAAATGGTTTAGTCATCTGATCGGAATGGAACAAAATCAAGCAGCATCTAGAGCGTACTACAGGAGAACAGCAGACGATAGGTCAAGAGGCCGACCGTGAAAGAGATGGGTGGAGGGGATAAAACAGACACTATAGAAACGCAGTAAGATATTCTTCTTAAAGCCCCTGCCGTGTGTCGTTGGTAGTCACGTCTATCCACAACTTTCTGTCTCGCGGAGGATCATTTGTATCAGAGCTGATTGAAAGTAAACGAAAGCAAAAGTCAGGAAACTACATATACATTTGTCTGTGACGCTTGCCGACATAAGCAGTAGGACTCAAGAACAGTATAAAGCAGAACTGTATTAGAGCTCATTAAAAGTACACGAGTATCACTACACATACATTTCTTTGCGACGCTTGACGACTTAAGTAGGACTCAAGGATAAGTTGAAGCAGAATTGTATTAGAGCTGATTGAAAGTACACGAGTATATCATTAACACAAGCAAAAGACAGGAAACTAGACATAAATGTGTCTGCGACACTTGACGACATAAGCAGTAGGACACAAGAACACGATGAAGCAGAAGCGTACCTTCAAACGTTATTCGGATTTATATATATATATATAAATCTGGAAGTGTCCGCTTCAAAGAAAAGGTTTTGTAGAGACTTTAAACAACATTATTCTTTGGATCTGAATGGATTCTTCAAGTAATGGAGAATTGTGCAAGGAGGCACTTTGGATGACTCGGGGGGGGGGAGGGGGTGCTGCTAGAAAGAAAAATCTCACTGGAATGCCAGAGACCATGAGAAATCAACAAAATCATTTTATTAATACAAGTATCCTGTCGCACTTCAGCAGACTTTATTTTGTCTGCTGAAAACGTGTCACTGTCTGGCGCAATTTGTCTGCCTCCCGATGTCAGCATTTCAGTCCCACAGCCTAAGTTACATCTCAATGTATTATCTAACGACCTACGCAGACCACTGTGGTCAGTCGTAATTTGGCCTATGATTGAATTACTGGCAAGTGGCCGGAACGCACGAATCGGCTAGCAACTGGTCAGCAATGGCGGTCGTGACAGAATGATTAGTACGATAACAGTGGGTAGTTTAGGGGCGGTCTGGTACCACACACACGATCTGGGAAATTGAGTGACAGGACGCAATGGATCAGATATCAGTGATAAGGTGGTTGGCTAACAAGATACCGACCGACACGTCGCGGCCTTCAGGGAATTGCAACTTATTTGTTACTCCCGCGTTTCCACTGTATTTCTTTATATGGGGGAGCTTAGACAACATGGCTTTGTGTTATTATGAATTAATCAAGTAACAGAAAGTTTATTGATCGGCACTCATAGAAAGAAGTAGAAAGATGGAAGAACACACTAGGCAACATAAAAATCGAAAGCTATAGTTACCATGCCGGGAATTGAACCTGTCACTATGAAGATGGTGGTAAGAATCCCCACTTGTGAATAAGGGTTTTTACACGATGTTAAAAATTCCCGTTTGTAGGACATGTAGTAATCATCACTGTGTGTGTAAACAAACAACCAACCAAAAGAAAGTGTGGG